GGACCCTTAGAGCATGTGAATCGCATATAACGCTGCGATACTCTTACTTAAAGGGGCACAATCTGAGACAATGGTTTTTGGCTTTTACTTAATAACAAGATATGAAATATAGCAGGTGGTTAGAGATTTTCACACAGCCATAGAAATTTCTACATCAGTAGATAATTCTCCCAACAATCGCAGAATTTAACGATATCGCAGCTTGTCTTATAAGATCGTAAACTTGACAAATATTTTAAAGGCACTACCCAAAGCGTGATTCTACTTTGTATTTAACCTTGCCCACTTACCCAAGACCCATCTGTTGCTGCTGCATTCGATCGTCGGATTCATATCGTAACTGCTCGACGAGATCCAACAAAATGCGCACACTGCTCATGACGTCATCAAAATGGGCAGAGCTAAAATTGGCAATTAAATGCCAGTGAGTTGGAAACTCAAAAATTTTTTGATATCTACTTCCCACACTGTTTCCTTTTCTTAAATTTTGAATTTTATTGAAATCCGTTCGACTTACCTCAACTCTTTACAGCTCAACCCGATGACAAGTGGATTCAGAAGATGCACGCACACCTGCGATGCATCCTTCATTCTTACTGGATCCCGAGTGACAATCCGCTGCACTAGCCCTATACAATCAATTTTCTTTTGAATTTTGTTAATTATCGATCGTCTCTATTCTTCAAAATTTTTTAAAAAATTGGCTCACTTGATTTAGCATGTATGATGACAGGATGGTGAGCAGAACAAAGCGATACACATGATAGCAACTGCTGCAACGATGCGGTATCGCAGCGATCCGATAACGATGCGAGCCCGGCTAGCAGATCCAGTTGGCGCTAAAACCTTGCGAATTAGGAGGAAGTCGCTTAATGAAATTTATTGTCTTTTATTTTATTTCTATTTTCGCGCTCGATAAGGTTCTACTAGTACACAAGCCAGATGTCTTCTGAATCCTTGATTCAAGCATTTCATCTTTTCTAAAATCTCTAGGCAACTTTAGCGTAGTGGTTGGTGACTATGTCTTTGAGATCGCCACATTAGGCGCATTTAATCGACTATTCG